CACACACCATCAGCTGCACTGGCCAGTTTCTTGACCACAGCCAGTGATTTCATACCACAAGATCTTTGCACATGCTGACCTCTTCCTGCTTCCTGGAATGGGCTCCCTAATCTCTGCCTGTTCTCAAAGATGGCTTCCTTGAACATCCAATTAAAATAGATCCACCCCTGTCATTCTCACTTAAAGCAAATTTGGCTTTCAAGGCACCTATTTAGTTATTTCTTCATTTATTGGCTTAACCTCTGCTACCATCATGTTGCCTGAGGTTTCCTCCTTTATCTTTCCCATAAACTCTGTGAGGGCAGAAACCCAGTTTGGTTTGTTTCCCAATTCATTTATAGAATAAATGAATTTTAGTTGAGTGAATTGATGAATCGAACATTTGGCACCAAAATCATTTTGCTGATACAGTGGTTAAGCACAGCAAATTTTGATGTAAAGTAGAAGTTATACATATTCTGCCTACGGGGAATGGAGCCAGGTAAGTAATACCTTCTGAACCAGCTTGAATCAAGACCAACTGTTGTAGGATGGTACGCTCTCCTGTGCCACCAGTCCGAAAACAACTTAAATGAGCCTAAACTCATTAACCCATGAGTGGTGGTAGGGCACGAGCTTGTTCAGAAGATGGGACAAGCTCTCCCTGCGAAGTCTGACCTCCCCTCTCAGCCCTGATCACACTCTTCTATCCCCCAGCCACCCTGTCTGTCTCTACTCGTATGTGTGTGATCAGCCCAGTACAAACAGTGGTCCATACTCCAAGGACAGAAGGATAGCAAAGTAAAAGCGGGTTTAAGAATTTTTCTGGAGAAAATGAGAGCTGAGGCCTTAGGTAAGTATGAGATTGCTGGATGCAACGGATACACACAGTGTTCGCAGAGTGCACCAAAACTCACTAGGCCAGGTCATCCTGTGGACATAGGAGTCACTAGGCCAGGCTGTCCTGAAGCTAGAAGGGTTTTTTAGTTGCTGGTACACAGTTGCCATTGCCCTCTATTTTTCAAACCCTGATCTAGCAGCAAAGGGCTTGTACCTTCTAGCAAGGAGAGCCTGTTTCCTCCCGCTGTAGCTCTCTCTGGAGGACAGGAGTTTGTCTCTATGGAGTTTTCAGCTAGACCACTCAGTTGTGCCCTGCTAGAAAACCAAGACCGTGCCTTTCTTCACCTCTCCATCCGTCGTGGCAGAGGTTCCCAGATTTAGAATTTCAAAGATCAACAAAGCTTCAGTAATGATTGGAAGGAATGAAATAGGGTTACTAACTACTTATTTTTCTAAATAAAGGCATTTATAAAAATGACCATTTAGTCTCACCATAAAGCAAAGGGTATTTTATTACCAAAAGGTCCAGGAAGGCTATAAACTCAAATAAAGGACCTAGCATGGTAATTTGTATAATAGCTCCTTGTTAAATTGAATGACCCAGGGGTAATCTAAGGTTCACCTAACCTTACCTTGCTTTTTAAGTTAATAATTATTCCAGAATGTTTGTACCTGATGGATGTGTGGCAATTACAGCTTTCTGCCTCTCTGATATGATCACTCATTGTAGCTTACTTGTAGTTATTTCTTTTTCTTCTGTCAGTTATTCAATCCCATTCGTAATTAGGACTCTCTACACTGCAGCCCTGTATGTTCAGCAGGATTTGGAGGGGCTTTGTTTGTGTTCAGAATTACCTTGAAGTTTGCAATAAGGACTTCTCTCGCTCTCCTTAGCTTTCTGGCTGTCAAGCTGAATTCAGTCGGTGGTGGCATAAAGAGATGAAAGCAGTGAAGTTTCCATCCCAGGGAACAATCTTTGATTATTATCTGGACCACACAACTAAGAAATTCTTGCCTTGGGCCGATAACATCCCCACATTCGCTCTGGACCCAGATGTGCCTTTGCAGGTAGGTGTGTGGAACACAGGGATTTTCAAGCCACACAGTGCTGGTTTGAGCCTTTTCTTGTTTGTCCTGGTCTTTTGTTCCTCTTGCCTGATGGGTAAATTATTGTCGGCAATGGTCAGCGTATACGTTTTTCCTGGGAGACAGGAATCTCGGTTATAGGAACAGTCAGAGAAATGGCTATTATATTGTTGCAACCTCTTGTTTTTAATTTCAACTTAGTTCTGTGGTAACAGCTTTCTTTATTTTTTCCTGGAAACGTTATGAGTTGTATTAAAAGTTGGAGGCAGGTTTCTGTAGTTCAGTGATTTTTCTTTCTGACCTTATTGTAAATTTTACATATCACTTCTTTCTTTCAACACCACCCCAAGTCTTCAAATGAATGTCTAGTTTCCCTGACTCATGTGTTTCATAGTCACATGGCAGTTGGCAAATCTCAATAAATCTCTCTCGTTTTAAATTGTTTCTCTTCATAGACTATTCTTTTACATTCTCGTATGGCAAGTTATTTTTTTAGTCATCTTCTAATTCGGCCTCGATCTATTTTCCTTTTCATTATATTTCTTTCTCAAACTCGTCATGCTGATTCATGTTGGAACTTGTTATTCAAGTAGTGCTACATGAATACAATGCAGGTAATTTTTACAGCATTGGTGAGGAGGCAGCCAGCGTCAAATAAGAAAACCCAATGTATTAGTCCCCCGGAGCTGCTGTAACAAAGCACCGCAAACTAGGTGGCTTAAACAACAGAAATTGTTTCATGGTTCTAGAGGCTAGAAGTTCAAAATCAAGGTGTCAGCTGAGTTGGTTCCTTCTGAGGGCTGTAAGGGAGAATCTGTGCCTTGCCCCTCGCCTAGCGTCTGGTGGTTGGCAGCCATCTTGGTGTTACTTGGTGTGTAGCAGCTAACCTCCAATCTTCACATAGCCTTTTCCCTGTGTTTGTGTCTCTCTATTCAAATTTCCCTTATAAGAACACCGGTCATATTGGCTTATGGGCCTACTCTATTTGTGTTAGTGTGCTAGAGCTGCCATAAAAAAATACCACAGACTGGGTGACTTAAACGTCGAAAATTATCGCAGTTCTGCAGGCCAGAAGTCCAAGATTGATGTGTCTGCAGGTTTGGTTTCTCCTGAGAAGGCTCTCCTTGGCTTGTAGATGGCACCTCTGGCTTTGTCCTCAAATGGTCTTTTCTGAGTGTGTGTGTGTGTGTATCCCTGGACACAGCCTCCAAATGTGACCAAATTTCCTCTTCTAAGGACACCAGTCAGGTTGGATAAGGGCCCACCCTAACAGCCTTATTTTAACTTTGTCACCCTTTTAAAGATTTTATTTCTAAATACAGTCACATTCTGAGGTACGGGGGGCTAGGGCTTCCACATAGGAACTTTGGGAAGACACAGTTCAACCCGTAACACCTAACCCTCAGGAAATTTATTTCACAAACTAGAAATTCAGAGGTAGGCTGGCTCCAGGATGGATTAATTCTGAGACTTGGTGATATCACCAAGGATTCAGATTTTTCCAACTCTGCTCTGCTCTTAACACGGGCTTCATTTTAAGACTGGTCTCCCTCCTGGGCTTAAGATGGCTCTGGTGGCCCCAGGAGTTACCTTCAGAGGGAAAGGAGACTTTCTCATATCTTTATTAAGAGTGAGGAAACGTTTCTTAGAAGCCCCAGAGCAGACTGCCTCCTACACCTAATTTCCAGGGATCCCATGCCAGCCCTAATGCAGCCTCAGGCCAGGGTAATAGGGTTACTGTGTTTGGCTTTGATGAATCACAGCACTGGAGGAATCACACCACTCAGGAGTTGGGCTGAGCGTCCTCCGAAGCATGTGGCTGTGTGGGAGAGGCATGGAGACTTGAATAAAGTGGGGTCTGTGACAGAAAGGAAGACATGTAGGGTTGGGTGTTGGGAAGCGGCAGCAATGTCTGCTCCATCTGCTTTCTACGTTTTGAAACCTCTGATTTTTCTCAATCTCCTTAGACTTCACCTACCTACTGCCTATCTGGATGGTTGAAAGTTGAATCCGTAACTAACCAAAGACCAAAAACTGGTCTCACAAGGTTGCTACACTTGACCAATGATATCTTTTATTCCACAAGGAAACTATTAGGACTTCGTAGTCTGACTTTATACACAGTTTTACCAAATGTGGTTGTTTGATTAACAACTTTTTTTTTTTTTAAGATTTTAGTGGGGAATTGGGGAAGGGGAACAGCCAAGTTGTTGTCCTTCAGTCTTAGTTTTGGAGAGCACTGCTAGCTCAGCTCCAAGTCTAGTTACCATCCAGTCGCCCATCGGCAGCTCAAGGTGCCCTGTTCAATCTTAGTTGCGGGTGGGTGTAGCTCACCATCCCATGCGGGAGCCAAACGAGCAACCTTGTTGTTAGAAGCACGTGCTCTCATCAACTGAGCCATACTGCCACCTATTGGCAGCTCAGCAGCAGCTCAGCTTGGGCACAGCTTACTGGCCCATGTGGGAATCGAACCAGTGACCCTGTTGCTCAGAGCTTGCGTTCTTAACCAACTGAACCACTCAGCTGGAACAACTTCTTAACATATTAGAAGAGAACCAATATGAATCAGTAATAATAGCCAATGCTAATATTACATTACTCTATGTCAGGCCCTTTTCTAACTACATTACATAGATTAACTAACTTAATCCTTACAACTTTCTAAGGCATGGACTGTTTCTTTTACATATGTAAAAAAAGAGATACCAAGAGATTAAGTAATGTGTCTGCAACCCATGCTCTGAAGTACATTCTGTATCTCAGGCTCTGGACGGATGTGGGGTTGAATCCAAGACCCACCACCTAGAGTTCATGGTGACCTTGGTGAAGTTGTCAATGTTCTCTAAGCTTTAGTCTCATCATCTCTGAAATGAAAACAATAACAAAACTCTCCTCATAGATTAGTTACACATATCATATGACATAATGCATAGAAAGTGCTTAGCATAGTACCTGTCACATATTTCAGCTCTCAGTAAGCATTATTGATATTAATGTGTAGAGAAAAGAGCTAATAGCCAAATTAAAAAGCAAATGATGACAACTAGCAGCAAGAAAGGAGAAAAAATGCTGTAAAATGCAACTCAGTTGTTTCTTAAAAAGTTGTCTAGGAGTGTTTAATGTAGCATGGAGTAAACAGCCCTGCACTTTTCAATAGGCCCTGAGAGTATCACTGAATTACAACAAAGTTCTAGAGTAAAAGTTCATAATCATGAAGATGACCCTGAATGATCTGTAAAATACTCAATTGCATTCAGTATATGCTAACCACATAGGGAAGAACTTTCTCCGTCAGAGAATTTGTCTTTTTCTTAATGAACAATACACATTGTTCAAGTTGGGTTTTTTTGTTTGTGTGTTTGTTTCTTAACCTCCTTTTTAATTTGGCCATGAGGAACTGAAAGAAATTGTCAACCCTGTTTTCATTAGTATGCAGGATTCTGTTTCTGGAGTATCTACATCTGCTACCCTTTTCCTAATCTTATATATTAGTCTATGTTCCCTGAGTCTGATTTGTATTTATTTGTATTCTTTATTTTGTTCCTGTAAACTATTTCAAATTCTTTGTCAAGCAATATAGTATCTAAATAAATAGTTCATTTTCAAAGCAGAAACATTGTTATAATTTTTTTTTAAATAAAACAGTGCATAATAAATTTCAGATGTGCTTTGGATTTGTGACTATTCCACTTAAAGCCACTGTTTCCTGCAAACTGGTCTCCCACCACCACTGAACTCCTTTAGTGTGGCTTCTGTGTAATTGTTTGCCACTTAATCTGACCAGGCCAAAGCATTGCTAACAACTTTCATTTATATGTGGTTTGACTTATCAGATGTTTTGTCAGCAGCTAAAGAGTAGTGGATGGTTTCTTAACTGTTTACTGTATTCTCTTGTATGTCTAACACAAGGTTGGGCAGAGTGTAGGTATTCCGTAATAGGGAGACTTGAGTGTTATTACTTAATTGGGGAAATATAAATCAGTTGCTTATGCTATGACCTGTTCTGGTGGTTCTCCTCAAGCTATGATGTCTTGCACCCTGACAATTTAACACGGAAAATTTCGTGGGATCTCCTACTGCTGTTAACTTGAACTCAGAATTCACTGGGTCTTAATTCTAAAGTAACTATGTGGTTCATATATTCAATTCTGCAATGCTTCTCTCTGACCTTTCTCTCATTCTGTTTTTTTCCCCCCAAGAGAGTTCTGGTTCACACACCAGAAACAACTCGCCTTAGATATTTCACAGAGCTGTTGCTTGAGAAAGGACAACCACTAATGCTAGTAGGCAATGCTGGAGTGGGAAAAACAGTCTTTGTAGGTGACACGCTGGCACGTCTCTCTGAGGATTACATTGTGTCCCGTGTGCCTTTCAACTACTATACAACCTCTGCAGTCCTGCAAAGTAAGTGTTCCTCCTGTTTCCTTCCAGAAAGATCCGAAATTGTCAAGGCCGTGACATGCAACCCAAAGAGATGCTCATGTTCTCTAGGCTTTAGACATTTTGCTTAGGCCTCAGATGAATTTTTATTTATTGTAGGTAAATATGCTTTGTTCAAATATTGTGATTTGGGCTTTTTTATAGCTCTCATTACTTGGTGTCATTACTCTTTAGAACAGCAAGAATTTGCTTTGCCTCTAAGCCATGGGGTTACTTTTAGTCAATGTCATGGAGCAACTTGAAGGTACACTCAAGGAAGAGTGTTCTGGTTACCTTCTCAAACACAGGATTGATTTAGGAGAAATTCATTCAAACTGTTGATGAAATGACAGGACATGAGCCATTAATTAAATCTTAGAAGAAGTAAAAGAAGAATTTTAAACTGTTGAATAAATGTATCAGTGCAGTCAAAAGAACCACACGGATTGTGGCCATTCCAAGCTGAGAAGGGCCAGCACAGTAGACTTGGGAAATAGAGGAAAAATAACATAAAGAGCTGATATTGGTAGGCCTGTCACTAAGTTCAGCGGAGTAATTGGGTCATATTGTGGGGTGGGGGAGGACAGCATAACTCCCTGTTGTCCGCAGTTTATGAAACCTGTTGAGTTGCCCTGCATGTGAATTCTGTGTTGTGAGTGTGCATGGGTGTGTGTCGTTGCTGTCTTCTTAGCTAATATCAGTGGAGATTAATAATAAATTTTCTTACTGACATCATTAACTTGCACAAGAGAGGTTTTTCTGTAATCTCTTAATCAAGTTTGTCTTCCTTGGGTTTTGAATAAAACTGACTTAGCAGTATTTCATTCATTCGTTTAGCAAATATACATTATTTATCTACTTTGCCCCAGGTGTTGTGTCCAGTACATATTTTTCATTCATAGACACAGAAGAAGGGATCACGTCATCACTTGTAAGTGGAAGATTAGGGCCACAATTCAACAGTTGAACTAAGTACTTGACTGTGGCATGAGTTCATCTTGCTAATTCGTGAAAGAGATACAAACATGAATAAGATTTAGAGATTGCCTATTAGCAGGAGGAATAGAAAGAGCCTATCTTTTCTAAAGAAAGTTAGGATTCCAGACCTTTGAGATGGGGTGGTATGCAGGCAGAAATGGGATTTGGGGTAGAAGAATCAGCTTAAGCAAACTCATGAAAGAGAAAATTGTGGGATATAGTCAATTAATAAAATCTCTTAAGTTGACTGGAGCACAGTGACGGGGTAGAAGATAGGGAAAAGGCTGGAGTGGTGGGTTAGAGTTATAGTGTAGATCGCGTGCTTAACTGTCTAGTTTGCCAAAGACTGAAGGGGTTTCTGGGACTTGGGACCCTTAGCGTTAAAACTGGGGCAGTCCCGGGCAAGCTGGGCTGGTCGGACACTAACTGTAGAGAGCACTGAGATACAAGCTGAAAAGAATGTATTTCATCTGGTAGGAAATGGTGAGCCATTGATGGGGAACAAGGACCTGACACAAATGCAAGGTATACTTTGGGAGAAGTCTGAGGTGGGGAGACCAGCCCCCCCGAGTGATGTACTAGCTGAATGTAATGTTGCTGTGGACTAGAATTGTAGAGAGGGAGGCCAAAAGGAAGAGGTGTGAATCATTTACAGGCTGTGGTTGGGCAGATCAGGGACCAGGAGAGAAAGATTATGTTGAGGCTTTGCGTCTGGCTGACAGGGAGAGTATTAATCCCATAAATAGGAGCACAGAAGGCAAAAGGGAAGAGGTGCATTTTGAGTGCAGAAGAGGCATATTTGGTGTTGGCCTAACCTCTGGGCACCAATGGGTAATAGAAACTGATGCCCAGCAAGCATTTGGAAGTGCAGGTCCGCTGCTTGGAAAGGAGGTTTGTTAATTTATTCATTATATACTTTATTTATTTATCCATTTGTTCATTTAACAAGTTACTTGTGATTGTTATCAGGAATGCAGCAGTGAACATCATATAGTTCCTTGTCCTCAAGCTATTTGTAATGCACTTGGAGAGTCGACAAGTAATTAGATACTACATCTCAAACACACATTCTTTGGGATTTTCTACACTCAGGATTTTCTCTCAAACATATCGACACAAAGTCATGTAGGCACGTGAAGAAATGTAACGTGATGTAGACACGGGATAGTGTCTACCTACCAGATCTTCTTGTACTTCTACACTCTGATGGCCCAAGAAGAGAGGTGTGGGAGACTGTCTTGAGTTGTCCCCAGATGCTTCGGCAAGGCCAGTAGAGAAAGGCTGTGAGGCCAGGCTGTGACTGGATGGGTGGTGGGCCATGCATTAGAGTGGGTACAGGGGAGGAAAGTGCATAGATCAGCAATGGTGTTGGCTCAGATGTCATGGCAGGATGTTATCATGCTGCAGACGCTGACTGTCCAGCAAAGGACCAGCGAGGTGAGCTCTGGCGACAGGAGGGAGGTTGGCCGGACAGCCTGACATAGAAGGAGGTGACCAGAGACACAGCTCAGGTATTAACCTGCAGAGTGGATTAACCTGAAGTCACAGAGTGGATGAAATGGACAGAAGATGAGGGAAAACAACAAAAAAGGACTAAGGACAGAATGTTACATTTTATCTCATTGGTGGATGGAATTGTATATTTGTTTCAGGAATTCTTGAAAAACCTCTAGAGAAAAAAGCTGGTCGTAACTATGGTCCAGGAGGAAATAAAAAATTGGTTTATTTTATCGACGACATGAATATGCCCAAAGTGGACTTATATGGCACCGTTCAGCCCCACACTCTGATACGACAGCACATTGATTATGGACACTGGTAAGTGTTTCTCTGTATTCGCAACTGAAATCTAAATCTAATTATTATTATTAAACATTTAAAAATGGAATAGCCCCAATTTCTTTCTCTTCTGAAGAGCATTTTTTGTGATACCTTTTGGGTTTCACTTTGCATTCCCCTTTCACCATCTTAAATGGAATAGATTCCCTTTGCATCTTGGGAAGAGTTGGTTTGAAAAGTATCTTAGCAACATAAACTGTCCAGTTGAAGCACTAAACTCTTTAAGACATTAACTCACACTGAATCACTTAGAGAAGCTTGACCTTTTCCTTTTCGACCTTTTGGTAACATCTGGGCACTGCAGTTTGTGATCTGTGCTGTTAACTAGAGGGAGAGCCTCCAGCCCAGCTGCAGGTATTTCTAACCAGAAATAGCATCACGTGAGAATCAATAAGCAGTTAAGGGTATGTATTGATTCAGCTCCAGTTGTTGATTCTGGCATCAAAGAAGCTATGACACCTTCAGTTTTCCAAGCTTTTGTTTTGATGTCTCTGAGAGAAGGCTAACAAGTTCAACATCACAACGCAGTGGTAAAGATCAGAGGAGACAGCTAGTGATGAAGTCCTTTACGAACTGGTGGGTTTTGTTGTGCTGTCTTCTTCCGTTTTAGGACTTAAAGTTCTGTTTTCAATCTTGCAGGTATGATCGACAGAAAACCATGCTTAAGGAAATCCACAACTGTCAGTATGTGGCCTGCATGAATCCGATGGTGGGCAGCTTCACAATCAATCCTAGACTACAGGTAGGGTGTCAAGCACCGCTCTCTCCCAAAGAGCCCCTCATTACAATACCGAAACATTGTAGGTCTTGATTCTTGGCACTTTTTAGTACAAATTAGAGCTCCTACTGGGCATATGGTTAAGCATGGAAACTTTTTTTTTTTGGCAATCTGCTGGTACCATTATAATCCCTATTTTGCAATTCTTATATGTGTCTTTCTTTTCAGAGACATTTCACAGTGTTTGCATTCAACTTTCCATCCTTGGATGCCTTAAACACCATCTATAGCCAGATACTGAGTTTCCATTTCCAGCAGCAAGCATTTGGTCCATCCGTCCTCAGGAGTGGCCCTACATTGATACAGGCCACCATCGCATTGCATCACATGATGACACATACCTTCTTACCCACAGCTATTAAATTCCACTACCTCTTTAATCTGAGAGACCTGTCAAACGTCTTCCAGGTACCTTGATGGCTCTCTGTTATGTGTCTGGGGTGGAGAAATAAGGCTAGTATTATTAATGGTGTTCAATTATAGAACTTTGTTTAAAACTGTGCTACGTACTTTGTATTTTACACCATAAACTTCTCTATGGAGTGAGCATAGCAGCTTTGTTATTCCCATTTTATCAGTGAGAGCAGCGGTTCCTCTCAGGTTGCAGAGAGACAGCAACAAAAGCAAGGGTAGGAGTCTGGACTCTGTGTTTCATTTATTCTGTATAAATATTTGAGTGCTTGGTTTCTGTGCCAAGTAAGAGGGATAATTAGTCATTTTTTCATATTTATGTGATATGATTTTTAATCATACATCAAGAGAAAACAGAATTTCTTAAATTGCTTTGTTTTGACGTTGACACCTCCATTACCTGGTGAAAGGGCAGCGTGTATGTATCTGATTTAGAGAGGAAATTCCAAACAGGCAGTTTAAAACTTGGAATTATTTTTAAAATCCACCTAATTTTGTCCGGTACGGTAAAAGTCACCACAAAGTTATTTATGGCTTAAAGTTTTTTTGTGAGAGAGCTAGTAAAGTGGGAAAATATGAAAACTTCATGGGATTTCTTTCTTTATATTTGATCTTTGTTTCTTTATATTTTTATAACCTTCTTTCCTAAATCACCCCACAACTGCCTTAAAACCATTAAACAGCATTAGACAACAGCTTCCTAAGAACGCGGACCTTTCCTTTTCATCTTTCTAGCACCTGCTTGAAAGACTGTGCTCAATAAAGTGTTGTTGAAAAGCAGATTTTTAATCTTAGAAGGAAAAGGGAAGGAAAGCCATAGGTGACATGGGATGAGAGGCCTGCCTGCTCACCATTCATACAGTCCGTCAGCTGCACTTCGCATTCCCAAGTACTCGTTTAGCCTTTTGCAGCTAATTCTCTCTAACTCCCTCAGTGTTCTTCTATGAGTCCAGAGCAAGCTGACCCTCTCCGTGAGGAGTGGGTCTATATGAATCCAAGAGACCGAAGGGCAGTGTTGAGGGAGAGTGGGAGTTAAATGTTTCGGGGCTGGTACCCACAAAGTGTGAATTCGGGCAGTTTACTTTTGGTCTCATATTCTTCATCTTTGTGAAATGAAAGAGCTAGATCAACTGATATCAAAGGATTTTAGAATAAAAAAAATGATGATCCTGTGACTTTCGTGTTAGCTGTTTATATTTTGGTTTTGGAAACTTAATCTGTTGGAAAACTTAATAGGCAGAGGTTCTCAGAGGCAGTGTTTAGTTCCTCGGCTGGCTCTTGAAATTCTGTCCTAGCTACATTCCTAAAAATGAATATAATGATAGTAAATGTTTAAAATGTCACCTATCGGAGAGTAAAACTAATATATATGTATGACTATTTATAATGTTTCTTTTAACTCAATAAATTTGCTAAATTCAGTGTACAGTTAAAATGTTAAAGGAAACTATTATAGAATGTCACTAGCTTCCAAATTTTTAATTTTCCCCATTCTTGCTTTGAAGGGGATTTTATTTGCTTCTCCTGAATGTTTAAAGGGTCCCAATGATTTAATGCGCCTGTGGCTTCATGAATCTTCTCGTGTTTATGGAGACAAACTGATAGACACAAAGGATTGTGATTTGTTTCAGAAAAAAATCCTAGAAACGGCTTATAAATATTTTGAAGTAAGTATATGAATGTTTGAGGTCACTGTTGGCTCTGGCACTGATTAATGTTGGGGCACAAGTCAGCTATGGCTGCAAATAAATTGTGCAAATGCTTACCTTGCTCAAACAGCTGTGATTCTAGAATATACTTGGTCTGTACTTGTAAACATTCCATCCACCTCACCCTGGATTGATCTGCAAGCTTTTCCCTTGGTAGGCCCCTCTGCCTCTAGGTGCCCCTCTAGGTAGGCCCCTCTGCCCCTGATTCTAGGTGAATCATTCTGGATGGTTGACATGACCATATTTTTCTGTTTTTCCTCCTGCAGGATGTAGACAGTCACATCCTGCTTCAACAGCCCCTCATCTATTGCCACTTCGCCGATGGTGGGGAAGACCCATGTTATATGCCCGTGAAGGACTGGAAGGTGCTGAAGACAATTCTTACAGAGACCTTAGATAACTACAACGAACTCAACGCTGCCATGCACCTAGTTTTGTTTGAAGATGCCATGCAGCATGTGTGAGTTGGCTAGTCGTGATCCTTTTTGACAAAGTAAACATGGCTGGGTACCCACAATGGTTGTCTCTCAACAGATCATACTAAGCACTCTGAGCTATCAGATCTTATCCAGTGTTTGTCCTGCAATATAAAACAATAGTGTCTCTGTCGTTTATGTCACAGTCTTAATCATGTCTTACATAGGTACACTTCTTTCTGAAGTATCCTCACAGCCATCATTTCAATTTTATTTCACTGTAGCCCTGTTACGTAAAATAATAAGAAAAAAAGGTAAGTGACCTATTCAAAGTCATAAAGTTCATAAGTTGCAGAGACAGGCAGGACTCAAACTGACTTTCATTGATGAAGCATGTGTATTGAGTGCCTGCTGAGTGCTAATCAAGAACATCACCAGCCTATTCAGTGCTTTTGTGCAAATTAGGAAAAGGGGAGGGGCTTGTTTTCTTGGCAGACAATTAGAATAAAGCCCCCGCTCTGGTCTAGAACTTGGCTGACAAGGCCCTCACTCACCTAGACTGGGCACCTGTGCAGTGCACAGATTATGCAGCCGTCTTTAGCACCCCTGCTGTCCAATATTGTTCTAGGTTTGGGGGATAGAGCAGCAAACAAGACAGTCCAGTCTCTTCTCTAGTTGAGCTTATATTTTAGTGATTCATATGGACATTTATAAGGGCACAAACAAAGAATCAGAAAAGTGTCAGAAAGTGACATGTCATGCTGACAGATGAGATAGGTTGGTTCTGAGAAATAAAACATGTGGATTCCCAAAGAGGAGCGGGTTATCTGTGGGAGGAGGTGACATTTAAGATGAGATCAAAATGATGAGCAGGAGCTAGGCATGGAAACATTTGGAGGAAGAACATTCTAGGTGAGGGCAGATTTCATGAGGCCCTAAGGCTGAATGTTCAGAAACAGAAAGAAGCTGCCGCGTGCAGAGAAAATGAGGAGGGCAGTGTGTGACAAGGATGGAGAGACGGGGAGGGCCTTACTTACACAGGGTACTTCCTTGTGACCAGAGGAAGGCGTTTCAATTTTATTCTAAGTTCAGTGAGAAGCTTTCAGATAGATTTTAGCATGGGAATGACATGATGTGTTGAATAGTCTTAAGTAGCTTGTCATTGCTGCCTCTGTGTGGAAAGTCGATTGCTTCTTCAAGTCCAATACCGTTCTCCTAGTCACCATCATGTCTCATTGGCTATTATTAATTTGCTAGAGCTGCGGTACCAAAATGCCACAAACTCAGTGGTTTAGAAAAGCAGATATTAATTGTCTCACAGCTCTGGAGACAAAAAATCTGAAATCAAGGTGTCAGAAAGGCCATGCCCCCTCTGAATGTGCTGATAAGAATCTGTTCAGAATTCTCTCCTCGGTTCTGGTAGGTCGTTGGCTTGTGGCAACTTAAATCCTCACGCGGCATTCTCCCTCTGTGTGTGTCTCTGTCCAAATTGCTCATTTTTATAAGGACACCAATCGTATTGGATACAGGGCCCACCCTACTCGAGAATGATATCATCTTAACCTATTACTTCTGCGATGACCCTATTTCCAAATAAACTTCTATTCTGAGATACTGGGGGTAAGGACTTCAATATATGAATTTGAAGGGACACCCTTCAATTAATAACACTTGCCTTTTTAATAAGTGATATTTGGGCAAAGATTAAAATAATGAAATCATGATTAAAAATAAGTCAAAAAGAGGATGTATGTGGGGAAGGAAATCCAAAAGACCAAAAAAAAAAAATGTGGAGAATTCAATTTTTAGTAGAGTTACTCTTTAAAATGTTTAGCCCAAGTGCCTAAGAAAAACTTTGCAGGCTTCTCCATCATCAGTTATTATAAGCATGTTAAGTATTAATTTATGGATCCTGTGGCAGTTGCAACCCTCTGATTCCACAGCATTAGTTAGGATCTCTGACTAGGGTGTTAAGTGAATTATGAGTAACACTGTTTCGGGTTGGGTTAGTATACATTGCTGTGTGAATGTTGTAGCTCAGCTGAAAGAGACCCCCACTGACGCCGAGGGAAAGGGTCTTCCCATAGAATCCTTCAACATGCAGTTCTCCGCAGCCTAAAAAGAAAGGCTGTTCTTTGATCAGGGATTATGAGCTAGACGCTGATTTCCTCAGTGTTAGAGATGATTTCAGAGCATGTCCTTGAGTGCTGGGGAAAGGGACTTGGCCGCTTAGAAAACCTCGTGAGGTACAAACTTCAAAGCATACATTAAAATGAAATGTAAACCCTGCTTCAGAACTTGGGGTTTCACTCATGTAACAGTAATTTTGTGGCTTTCCCAGCGTGGTTTTGTTGTGGGGTCAGGTAAAGTAAAATTCCACGAGATGGCTGAGCTCGTAAAAGTAACTTTTTTTTTCAGTCACTGAAGGTTTGCACGTGCTGGTTGTAGTATAAGTGATTCCAATTTCATGTGTTTTTTTAAAAAGCAATCTAGGTGGACCATTCAGGGTCTGAAATTTAGTTCATTGCAGAAAAGCAACCTAGAGCAAACACAATGGTGTCCAATTTTTTTGCATTTGAGTGTCCATATGCTTATCTTTTGTTTTGTTGCTTTTGTTAATATTTTTAACATAATTATGACATACTTCTTCAACCACAGCCATATTTTGATCATGTTAAAGCCAACTTATTCCTAACTATAAAATGCGACAATAATATCAATAGTTAAGCATTCAAAATCTCTTCGGTGATACAGTACAAGGATTAGCTGGCCTTGCTAGAAACTTAACTCTGTGCTTCTGAATGGTTTCAGTAAGTTTTCTAGAGCGCTCGAGGCACAGGGAAAGCTTCAGTGCAAAGGAAGTAAGAATCATATAAAGAGGCCAGTGTTTGATCTGTATGAAGTAAGTCACACGTGAATGTTTGCTGGCCTAAACAAATCCATCCTTTCTAAATTAATTCTACGGCAAAGGTTTCTGGCACAAAGACATTCTCCCTCTGATGTCGTTGCACATGGATGCTGACGTGGAGCTGGGCACTTGCTTGCTAGTCAAAAAACACGAAGCTTAAATAAAAGGCCTTGGATATGTTTTCTGTCTTAAGTTTTGGTGGAGAGTAATAAGGCAATAAGAGAGTCCAAGAGGTTATTAGCACAGGACAGTTCCTGAGACAAGCAGTGCACAGGCAGATGGAGGCAGCATCTTTGTTTGATGGGGGAACAGAGGAACCCAGACTAGAGATTTGAAATAGAAATTGGAGCTTACTATCTAAATATTTATCTGAAAAATAGAACAGCCACAGCCCCAGGTTTCATGCTGCGGCGGGTGCCCCTTTTCTCCCTAGGTGTCGCATCAGCCGAATCCTCCAGACCCCTCAGGGCTACGCCCTGTTGATCGGAGTGGGCGGCAGTGGCAAACAGAGCTTGTCCCGGCTGGCAGCTTACATTTGCAGCCTCGAGGTCTTCCAGATCTCTCTCACCGAAGGCTTTGGAATCCAAGAACTTCGGGTAAGTAAAGGTGAGATAAATCGCCCCTCTCGGCTTCTGCCTGGTGGATCAGGTAATGCGCATGTGTTAGCTCCCACTCCCAGGTTTGGCCAAGGCCTCCCCAAGCGTGGAGGTGGGGGGGGGGGGCGCACTTTAGAGGATTTAGTTACCTTTGGCGGTTTCTCCTCCATGGTCAAGTTAGTAACAGTAAATGTCTATAAATGCTTAGAGGTATATAAGCCTATACTCTTGGTTCAGACAGTATTTTATTAAATACTTGCTGACACAAACATGTTTCTTTCTTGGCATTGACCACACCTGATATTCAACACTATTAGTATTCCTGTATGATGGAGTCAAGATCCTGCCTCTGCAAGTGCAGATAGATTTCTTCCACTTTGGATAAGATTATAAAAATAAAATGCAATAGAAATACATTCAAGAAACTCAGGTGTTTTTAAAATTTGGCTATTTAATCACAACAGTACTTACAAAATAGTACTTAAAGAGTTTGATCAAATGCTATTGTAAGCTCAAAACAAAGACAAATCACAGGCTGTCAGCATTACTAAACAAAACTAAATAAATAACCGAACAAAAAGTGTTTTCCATGAAATAGTTGTTGGAAGGAGCAGGGACTTCCTTTGACTGCGTTGCTTGACAAAGGCGTCACCGGATCCATTTTCACTCGATTAGAAGGGAGCCGTTCAGCGGCGGCAGCCTGTTTTTATCCCTATGCTCCATTAAGCCACAAACATGACACTCATCATTATATGCCACAAATGGAGGTGATGTCATGCTGTTTGCCCCTATCATGGGGTCACTGAGAGGAAAGAATACGTAAACAGACGGAGAGTACACCCTGCAGCGCTCACGTATAGTTACTCCATTCTTCTCAGCACTTGTACGCATTGTCCCAACGTCACGTCAGCAGTTTAACGAAACATGAATGATGGCCTTCTTTCCTTACAGGAAGGTCTTGCCAATTTGTACGTCAGAACTGGAGCCAAAAACATGCCCACTGTGTTCCTGCTGACAGATGCCCAGGTTCTAGATGAGAGCTTTCTTGTGCTGATTAATGACTTGCTGGCATCAGGTGATTAAACCGACACAGTTCTTGAAAGATCTTCCCCGATGACAAATTATCTGTAGTTTCAGTGAACTTTCAAGAGAGATAGTTTGCCTTTGAGATGTTTGCTAGGGCAGTCTTTGGGGAGAAACCTATAAACCCAGCTAAACCGAGGTGTATTTCTTGTCTCAGTCTGCTTACGGAGGTGAGGCGTCCTCGGTGAAGTAAATGTTATTCCTACACATACAGGTTTAGTGGGTGTACGTGTAGGTACATAGCTGGTCCTCAGTGTGTTTGTGTCTTGTCAATGCGAAAGAAGAAAAATGGCATTTCTGATTTCCAAGCCTTGCTTTATATTTAGGCTGGACTTTGTATGGTAAGCATTTCAAGCATTAAAAAGCTATATCTAAAATTTAAATTGTGAGATCTTACAGTAATTCTTCTCATTCCTTTGCGGGCAGGAGAAATCCTGGATCTGTTTAGTGATGAAGATGTTGACAAGATAATTTCTGGGATTCGTAATGAAGTTCGTGGTCTGGGCCTGGTGGACTCCAGAGAAAACTGTTGGCAGTTCTTTTTGGCCAGGGTGCGACAACAGCTCAAAGTAAGAAATGCTCGCTTTACTTGCCCATTATTTAAAACCTGCTATTGGAACTATGATGCGGTTTTATTTCAGGATCCATATCCTGAGTTGGAATTTGTCATTCATTTTGCAAGGACATCCAGTCATTCATTGTGAAAGGACATTTGCATTTCCGCATGTCTGAGTCTGGAGTGCCCCCACCTGAAGTTTCCCATCATGCTGAGCTCCTACAAAGCATGTGCTGAGCAGACTGCATGATACTCGATTGAACTGGGCGTGGTCTCTGTCCTTGTGCTCACACGATCATAGGGCCTAAGAGCCCTCAAACAATTGTAGCTCAGGATCAGTGTAAACAGTGCTGTGGCATTACAGAGGAGCACGGCATCCTTCCTAACTGCAGTAGGCCCTCCTGGAGGAAGCAAGGTGTCTTCTGTCAGGTGTGGATTGAAATTCATGGGGGAGGGGATGGGGTAGGGAAGAACTGTCAGCATTTGTATAAGAGTAAGGGGGGACTGCACAGCACATGTTGGAGAAACCCAAGATAGCTCTGAATGACTGGAACATAGATAGGATTCCTATTGGGAGAACGACGCGGGTCAGGCTGGGAAAATAAGTTGGGATGAGGTCAGGGGTTGTAAATCATTAAATGAGCAGTGGGAGAGGTTTGCATCAAGGAAGTGAATTATGTCAGCACTTCAGGGGAAGTAATTTAGGTGCATTACTCAGATGACCTGAGACTCAACCCCAGGGTCTTCCCCATAGACTATGCTGTGCTGTGTGTCAGTGTAGCTAATAGGAATATAATACAACCATGTAGCAGCAGCAGTAAAGATCAAGTATTGTAACAAAACCAGAAATGCCTGCACGCTCGTGGCAGAATGCCAATTTAAGGAAAAGCCAGGCTGCCTCCTATAAAAATGGTTGGTAGCCTAGAAAAGTTGCTACTTTGCTACTTCTACTATTCCATAGCTGTCAAGTTAGTAACAGGCTCTGAGGCTGCGATACGAGCCTGGAGCACACAGGAAAAGGGAAGGGACAGTGACATTCGCCATGAATATATCTCTGCTTGGAGGTATAGAGTAATTGTTAGGTCCTCCGCTACCCTATACTAGGTCAAATTCCACATGGCTCTCACTGAGCATTTCTGGGCTGAGGTTAGAAGATGAGAATTTACAGTTCAGTTGCCCAAAGAGTTTTCTCCCCATCAAAAATGTGACAAAGAATATGTGTTCGTCAGGTTGTAACAAGACCAGGGAGTTCTCCCTGTTCCTCTGTGGTATGTTCGGATCCAATTTTCTTTATGAAGTGGAAAAACAAATACCATCATAAATTTGAGATAGTAATGGTATAAAAATCACTGGCTGTCAAATTCGGTTTCTCAGAGCAACAGAATCAACATCACCTAGAAACTTTATAAAAAGGCAAATTCTCCAGTTACACTCTAGACCTCTTGAATCAGAAACTCTGAGTGGGACCCAACGACTTCTGTTCAAACAAGGCCTCCAGGTGATTCTGAGACATGCTGAAATTTTGAGAACTGTTGTTAAAAGTAATGCTAGTATGAGTGTTCTTTACTTTATATCTTTTATACACAGCTTTCCTTGCTTCTGCAGAATAAATTTCTAGAGGGGACTTGCTAGGTTCAATAGTTACAGCTTATCGTGGTTTTAAAATATGCCTACGAATTCTCTGATGTTGTTCTTACTTACAGGTGGGGCCTAGGTCCGCTGTCCTTGAATCTGGGTGGGCTTATGACTGCCTCAGCTAATAGAGTACACTGTGGGCAAACTGATGCTGAGTGGCTTTGAGGCTAAGGCATGAAGAGCCCACTTTTCCACTGAATTGTACATTGTTTTCTTTACAAGCAGTCTGTATATACGAATATCTTAAGCAGTGAGTCTCATATATGTGCCTCATATATGTTTCCTAGTCTATCACTTGTCTTTATAATGCATACAGGGTACACGTTTGTTTATTTGTTTATAACTTTCAAGTTTTAAAAAGTCTTTATGCTAGACTAATCAGCATTTTCCTTTATAGATTTGGGTTTCCTATAAATTTAGGATAAGGGCGGGCCAAGTGGCTCAATTGGTTAAGAGCTTGCGCAAGTGTGAGAGCTCTGAGCAACAGCAGTTCGATTCCCAGCCCGAGCTGAACTGCCGCTGAGCTGCCAACAGGTGGCAGGATGGCTCAGCTAGAAAAATTAAAAATAAATAAATAAATAAATTTAGGATAGTGCATTTCTCTCCTAGATTGTAAAACTCTTCACTAGAAGCAGCTGGAACTCAATTGGGCAACAAGTAAGAGAATAAATAGCTAAGTACAGTTCTGTAAAGCCTCCTACATCCGTGAGTCCAGACTAGCTCAGTAATTCCCTGACTGACCCATGCTTTCCTCTCCTGCCAGCACACATCCTGATGCTTCCTGCCTTGTGGTCACAAACAGAGTACACTGGGGTCTATATTCCAGGCAGGAATAAGACTTGGGGCTCCCTGTATCAGGAAACCAAAGCTTCCCCCCAAACCCCAAAGCTGGTGTCTTAAGGGCCACAAATGTGTCACATGCCACCTCTACCTACCTCTGGGCAAGTGAGCATTTGATTCTGTCGTACACCCTTTATGAATAAAGTTGGGAGACGTCGGAAGTGGATTTTGGAATAGCAGCAGTATCAGTCATTCTCACACCTGTGTGCTTTCACACGTATGTTTAAAACTTCAGTATATCTGGAATATATTTATTATTATATATGCTAAAGAGTGAGCTGAGAAATCTCAGGTTATTTTTTTCAAAAAAGATATCCTTTTATCTAAACACCATGTATTGCTTCCTTACTGATTTGAAGTACCATTATTATTTATTATATACCAAAAGCCATATTGATTTTCTCTATTTCTGAATCCTCTCTTCTCTCTTCTTTTTTTTTAAGATTTTATTGGGGAATTGGGGGAGGGGAACAGTTCTGGGGAGTGGGATAAGGGGAACAGACAAGTTGCTGTTGTTTTTGTTCTTCAGTCTAGTTGTGGAGGACATTGCTGCACTGGCCCAAGTTGGCACCATCATTGCGCTCTTCCCTGGTGAGGCAGATCAGTCTCCAGCTTCTGGACAGCCACTCACTGCGGCTGCTGGCCACTCACGCTGACTGCTGGATACATACAGTAGCCCATGGCAACCCACTGCAGCAGGAGCTGCAGCCTACGCCGTCGCCGGCGACTCATGGCAGCCCAGCTCCTGGTTGAGCTGTTGTTCAGCATCTTAGCTGTGGAGGGCAGTGTCACTGGCCCTCATATGGGGGATCTGAACCGGGGCCCTCTGGCGTCCAAAACCAGCTCTTAACCATCGCGCCACTCGGCCGGCCCCTCTCTTCTCTCTTCTTGATAAGTCTTGCTACTACTGATTCCCAACTTTGTGTTATATAAATTATTAGTTTTATTATACATCTTTATATGTAATATCTAATTGCTCTGTCTTGTCTAGTTTTTCTTTGTTGTTCTCACACGTTTAGACGTCTGGATAAACATCAGAATCATTATGTCAAATTCTATAAACACATTTCAGTCATGCTGAATGCTAATTTTATATTAGGGAGAATTTAATCTTTATGATATAATGTCTTGTATTGCTTTTGTAGAAGGAATATTTCTTTCATAAGGTTTCCTAGTGGTGGATTGTTTGTCTATAGGAGAGCTATTGATTTTTAATTTTATAACCTGCTACCTCACTGCCTCTCTGATAGTTTCTATTAGTTGCTTGATATTATATAGCCTCTAGGTAATATTTTATCTTTCCTAATAGTGATCTACCTGATCTTCCTCATTGCATTGGTAAATCCACAGAAGAATGTTAAATGGCAATGCTGGGAATTTTGATTTGTACATTAATGAAGTTGCATCTAATGTTTCACTGTTCTGTCTTACGTTAGCTTTTCATTCAAAATGTGTATCTTATCAAGAAAGTCTCTACTAAATTCCTTTCAGCATCTATTGAGATAATTATATGGTTTTTCTCATTGAATTTACTAATAGTCATATAATACAGACTGATGTACAGAAGGTTTCCATGTTTATATTGTTAAATCCATCAGTCGTTTCCTGCATGTGTTTCCTTTGATCTGTGCTTAGGCCAGCTTACCGAAACTGAGATCAATTTCTATTCATCTTGATTGTTTTCTACTCTTCATAATCTCATTTTTCAGTATTGACCTCAGTACAAGCTAGAATTTATTTTGGTGTTAGATATGGATCATTTTTTCCCCCATTGTCAAAGGATTATTAATTAAATAATCTATCTCTTCCCTAGTAAAATGAGTAGGAGGGCTTTTTTGTTTGTTTGTTTTGTTTTGTTTTGCTTTTTTGTGTTAAGGAAGAATAGGATACCTCCTTCAAATACTCCTGATCCTTTTTGGCCTTGTCACCTAGTTTGTTGCATCATGAGAAAGATTAGTGCTCAGCACCTTACCCTGAAGAAGAAATAATACTGCATAAAAATGGGTCATCTTGTAGCTAGAAAATGACAGACTCTTTCTCTTCGATCTGTGTAGATTACCCTCAAATCCTTGGAATTTTTGAAAAGAATTCTGGATTGCTCTATGTTAGTCCTACATATCTTGATATTCGCCAGCATACACTAAAGACTCAGGATTTCTGATGAGCTGATATTTCCTTTGCGTGTGTTCTTCGCTGGGCAACATGGGAAGCTCAGTGTGTTACAGGGCTTGGTGAGCACACCTGGCAGGTCAAGCTCAATGATGTGAAGTTGCCACCCCATTACCCATGCTCACCACCCAAAGCCAGCCCCCATTTGGAGTGCAGGGGCAGTGACAACCTGTTGGCATGCAAACTGTGCCCTGTGAATCCCACAGGGCAATTCCCATTAATGACGATCGGATGTGTCCTTGGATTGCCTGAAATAAACCAATGACTAAATGCCAAATGCCTTCTTGCCTTCACATTTGTATGTGTGCTTCTTCTCCTCTGTAATTCTCATCTTGTAAGTCGCACTTTCATCTTCTCTCCTGCTGACGT